GTTATTGTTGTTTTGAATTTATGTGAACTATGTATGCTATGTATTTTGTGTTGTTTATGTTTAATGTGTCGACCCCAGGAAGAGTAGTTGCAGGAACTGCAACTAATGAGGATCCAAATAAAAGAAAGAAAGAAAGTTTGTTCCATATTTGCACAGGTGATAAATACCCAAAACGCACAAGTTTCAAGTAGCTACAGAACTGGTCTCATTTTGTATTTTAAAATACTTCCCTACTAGACAGGAAGGAAACATTAAATCAGTATTTTAGAGCAGCCACGCTGACAAGTGGTCCTCAGTCTTGGGCCTTGAAGGCCACAATCCTGCATGTTTTAGATGGTTTTCCGCTTCAACACATCTTATTTGAATAAATGAGTGATTAAAGTGTACATTTCATGTTTTTAAATCTTTCCCTTTCACATTTAAATCATTCAGTTGTGGTCTATACAAAGTGCAATGCTTTAGTTTGAATTCCTGGTCCTAAAGTGCATCTGAGAGCAACTTGTTTTGGTGCTGTCTCTTTAAATTCAAATGACTCCGTTCTGCCATTTTTGTAGTTTGGTAGCAGAGATCCGATTAATTAGAGCAGGGCTATTCAACTTGCGGCCCGCGAGTGGCCAAAGTTTGGCCCGTCAACTGGTTCATTCATCTCTTAAGCCCAAACCCCCGCTTTTCTACTTTTATTACTCTAAGTTCTTTTAGTTAAACACAGACATGTTTGGTGTCAACAGAATCTTGGCTAGAAGCTGGTAAAAAACATTTCTATGAACACTCAAGACAGTTGAAAGTACAAGCAGCTGAAGATAAAACTATGAAAGTGAAAATAAAATTGGTTCAAAAATTTGGCAAGTCAGAGACGTGAAAATATTATTTGTTTTTGTTTTATTATCACTACACTTATTTCATGGGGTTCTGTATGTTGTATTCATGATTAATGCAGTAAAATAAACTAATTCAAAGGTAACAGATCTTTGTAATCCTTGGTTGATTTAGATCAGTGTTTCCCAAAGCTGGGGTCGGGACCCAAAGTGGGGTCCCGAAAGATCAAAGTGAGGTCCCTTAAAAAGATTTTCTGAATTAATTACATTTTTGCCTTAGTTGTTACAAAGGAGTGAGGTTAGTACAGTTTATTTAAAATGGATACATGTAGTATAAAAAATATTGTTACTATGCCCATGTTTAGTTGACCTGATACAAATGTTTATCATCCAAAAATAGTTGTGGGCACAGGTCTCTGCTACTGTTTTTTTGTGAGTCAAAAGCTGAAAAGTTTGGGAACCAGTGAACTTTGGTTCCCAAAGTTGGGCTTGGGACCCAATTATGGGTCATGAAGCACCTTGGATAATCTCCAGAMATCAATTTAAAGGGTAATAAAAAGTTGCTGATGTAATATTTTCTCTGTAATTACTAAAAAAACACAAAATAAGTATAAATAAGTATTTATATTTGTGTATAAGCTGTTTAGATTGTCAAAAAGCCTGTGTTTTTAGGGTTATTAACAAAGCTTTTGTACTCAGACCAGTAATATTTGGGGTCACAAGTTTTTGCCATATTTTGTGGGTCAGAAGACAAAAAGTTTGGGAACCACTGATTTAGATAATGACTTTAAATGCTGGATGTTCGGCCCCTCAGCTGTTGGCCTGCTATAACTGTGGCCCCCGGAGCGATTTAGTTGAATAATCCTGAACTACAGAGGCACAGAAACCTTTTATTTACAAAGTGACGTAAAGTAAAAAAGTATTTCTGAAAAAGGCTTTGAGTACTGACTGTAATATCTGAGTTAATATTTTAAAACAATGTCATCAGACTGAAAAAAATAGGAAGTTTAAGTGTAAATTCTGGTGTTTTTAAAGACTAAAATAAAAAAAATTAAATACAATAAATAACATAATAACAAAAAAGTGCTTCCATTGACGATATCTACTGAGGATATAAAATAGCATCAGAACAACAAAGCTTGTGTACAAACAAGAGGTCTCACTTCAACATAAACTGTAAGTTCATTTCTAGTTAAAACAAGTTTGTTTTTCATTTAGTAAAGTTACTTGCAGTGGGCAGAGTACTAGGGGTGCTACAATATGAAAGTTTACGCCGATATAAACATCCAATACTATTAATCCTGTTATGGCCGATAACCGATATTTACTGATATTACACAAATGCACAAGTTATTTACATAAACGCACAAATACATTTGTGTCTTTTTTCAATACCGTAAATAAATAATCAGATTCTACTTCAATTATTCCTGGCTGTGCAGCTTCAATATCACCATGATCAAATACTGCCCGACCAATCATCTCCCCTCCCAAAACAGAAACACAAAGCTAAAAAGTGGGAAATCAGTATCTGACAATAATATCGGCTCAGTTCTACTTATTGGACTGATATCGATATTCAAAAAAATTACCAGTATCATCTGATACCAATGTTAATGCCAATATATCATGCATCCCTAGATTATTACGCAATTAAAAAGGACAGTGTGGTAAAACAACTCCTAAAAGTATTTTTTTTCCAAAAGTAAATATAAATGAGTAAATGTAACTAGTTACTATATGACCCAATAAGAATTTAAATATATCTACACAGCATCTGAATAGACTAAATTCAACTTTTCTTCACTCCTACAGACTCCAAGTTCACAACAAAATGTATTTAAGGGCTAAATAAAGTTTATTTTGAATGATATGTCCCCTTTAACAGGCTTCTGAAGAGAAGAGAAACAACTAAAACGTGCGGGATAGTGGCCCTAGAGTGACGTTGACTGGACTGAGATCGACTTAATAAATCCCTACTGGTTTCCTTTGTGGATGATTTAAATAATAATCTGAATGTCAGCTTTCACTGTCGTTCGATGTGTTTGGAGAGATTTTGGACTCCGAAGATTTTATTGTTGTTTTTAGATGGTGAGACACACAAATTGTGTTAATGCTGAAAACAACAATCCTTAAAATGTTTTGTTTGCACAAGTCTGTACGTCTATACAGAAACTAAAGTCATTAACAGACACAGTAGAGGATTTACGCTTAAAGTTTATCTTACTATAATGTCAGAACTGTATATTTCGATGAGTAGCTACAACCGGAAATTACTACTTTACGAAGCAGCATCGCTCAAGAGGAGCAGAAATCCATTTACTATCTAATCATTTGGTTATTTCAGCATTTCTACAGAGACAAGGAGCAGCTGCAGTCCTTCACTTTAAGACTGCAGAGTCCACTCAAAGTGCCAGGACTGCACTCAGCCTCCGTCTCTGCAAACATCTTCTGCACCATTTAATACAACTTCCCGGCTGGATTTACTGTGAAGCCTGTTGAGGCAAAGAGGTATAATTTGACACAAAATGGCCCCATAACCTCGGGATATTCAACAATGTTTAGAGGTGCTGAGACCCATTTAGCCGGAGGATTGGCAAATATATTGCTTTTCCTCCCTTCTCATGTACAGAATTTCAATAAAACGGAGCGGTAAATCAGGGTTAAATTCAAACTGGTGTTTTTCTTCAGTGTTGTACATTTAAGAGTAGAAGCTTTAAAATGTTTCTGCATGCTTAGTTGCTTAGTAAGCTTTAGCGGGACAAAGGGTTAGATCCTTTCGCAATAACATAACTGATTTAACTGTGTTAATGTGATAAATATGGTACCAAATATCGAGATGAGATGTCTGAATTTTAAATATTTTCTTCAACTTGAGGAACTTTTTTAAAAAAAAATTTGTGTCTTGGTTGTAAAATTCACATTTTAAAATAACTTGTTGGATACAAGTCCTATCCAAAATGTTTTACCACCTCTGGAGGTTTTTTTTTTTTTTACTTCAAATAAAAACACACATACAAAACAGTCTGTGCTGTGGGATGCATTGATGGAATGTGAATGTCAGCGGCCTCTTTATTTACTCTGCGTATAAAACCATGAACAGTAATTAACAGCAGGTATCCTCCCGAGCCAGAGGGTAATTGACCATTTCGAAGCACCTTTATAACCGAGGAGGGCGTGCGCGCAATAAAACGAGTCAAGAAACCAAAACTGAGGGAAATATGTCCGCCAGTGTATTAAAATCGAGTCTTTTATATTCCGTGCCTCCCCCGTTTCTCCCCCTGCACTCCCTTCCTCTCAGAAAGGATAAGGGTCAGCAGAGGTTGGGCTCGGCTGTCAAACGCTCCAGATTTCTTTATGAGGGCATTAACATTCAGGCATATTCATTATCTGCAAGTGTTGGAAGATGGAGCAAGCTCGTGGCACCATTAAAGTGTTAGCTTTTCAAATTAAAAGCGCGATAAGATTCAGGAAGCGGAGGTGTCTTTTCTTCATAGGGCCAACAGGGACAGCTGCGGATCTGCTTAGATCCTAAAACATTACATCATCTGAACACTTCTGTTTCAAATTAATACTTTTTTTTTGAGGAATAAAAAAAAAACATTTAGAAAAGGAGGATTAGGAAATATTTAGCATCCTAAAATAATTTCAGGAAAAGGAGACTCAGCGTCTGTGGCCTGCTCTTTATATTTCACACACAGTGGGAACATAAAGTTAACGAGATGCTTGTTAGAATCTGCTAATTGGTCTGCTGGTTGCTAATTGATTTCTGTTAATTAGGGTTGTGGTAGTTCGTGATAATTGTTATTGTTATCTCTTTTAATTAGCAGTAATCTGTGTTAGCGCTTGTGTTTGATCTTGTAATTGCTCCTGACAACAACAACAGTGGCGATGTAGACCAAAGGTGGCGTCACATTTAACGCTCCTCTGAGATACACAACCCTGACGGTGAAGGCAATGTTAATTACCGTGTTAATTAATGTGTTAATTGTTCTTTTCTTTTGTTATCAACAAGAACAGATGAGAACCAGCTGTTTCAGTTAAACTGTGTAATATTCATATAGGTTAACAATAAGCAGACATGGCTCATACACAATATACTCTGTTAAATAAGAGCACTGTGATGTAAAAACTTTTCAAACATTTTTAACAACTTATTGAACTCACAACTTCATATTACAACAAATAACCAGCAGAGAGAAAAAAAACATGTTTGTAAAACAGACACTGTTTTAACCCAAGAATCACAAACTAAAATTTAATAATAATAAATATTAACTTGAAAACTTTTGGGGCTTATTTTATGTTGGTGACCTTGATATACCTTCAGTATCTGATGGCTCAGTTGTCAGTCCAAGGCCTTTTGAGCAGTCGGAGCCTCTCAGCTTTGAGGAACTGTTCAATTTTGGAGATCCGGGCTCTGAACAATGACTCCTTATCTTCACTCTCCTGAGAAAAAGAAGGTCCCAGGTCTGACTCTGAACCAGAACCTGCAGCCGGGCTTGGAGCTCTGCAAACCGATTTAAAAAGAAACCAGTGTTCATTTTTGAAAACGCAGCCATACTCGACGTGAGCGTTTTAAAATGCTATTTTAAAATTAAAGTTTAGGAACTCCTTTTTGTGGTTGTTGTAAAATTAACTGCTTGTACATTTAGATTCTAAATATTTTAAATTAGCCATCAAATGATCAGATTTTTTTTCATCCTTTAAAATTGATCTTTTCTGTAATTGTACTCACTCTGAGCTGGTCTGATGTGACACTTGGCTGCCTGTGCAGGAAACCGGAAAAGAACTGATGAACAAAGGACGTCTCCTGTCCTAAAGGCGACAACAAAAACAAATAATGAAACACAAAAGTGTTCAATGACTTCGTAGAAATTTGATGAAGAAGCTGAAACTGAGTTGTTGAAGCTAAATGGAACAAAAGGCTAGTTCAAAGCAGAAAAATGCTAGCCAAAAGCAGAAAAATGCTAGCTTAGAGAATCGAAAAGACTAGCGCAAAACAGAAAAATAATAAGCAAAAGAAACAAAATTCTAGCAAACAGAAGCAACAGGCTAGCTCAAAGCGACAAAAAGCTAGCTCAAAGCAGCAAAACATTAGCCCAAAGCAACAAAAAGCTAGCTATAAAAAGCAAAGCAAATTTTTATGCTAGCAAAAAAAAAATTTGAAAAGCTGGTTTGAAGCAACAAAGTGCTAGTTCAAAGCAGAAACATGCTAGACAAGAACATGAAAACTATTAGCTAAAACAATCGAAAGGCTAACTCAAAGCAACCAAATGCTAGCTCAAAGCAACAAAACAGTCTGAAGTAACAAAACTCTAGCTAAAAGGGGCAATATGCTAGCTGAAAGAATCAAAAGGTGAGGTTGAAGCATCAAAATTCTAGCTCAAAGCAGCAAAGCATTAGCCTGAAGTAACAAAACAATAGCTATAAGTAGCAATATGCTAGCTAAAAAAATCAAAAGGCAAGGCTGAAGCAACAAAATGGTAGTTAAAAGCATCAAAACATTAGCCTGAAACATCAAAACACTAGCTGTAAGTAGCAATATGTCAGCTGAAAAAATTGAATGGTTAGCTTGAAGCAACAAATTTCTAGTTCAAAGCAGAAAAATGCAAGCCAAGAGTAGCAAAATTGCTAACTATAAAAATCAAAAGGCTTACTCAAAGCAAATTAAGGCTAGCTCAAAGCAAAAAAATAATTAGCCCAAAGCAACAAAACGCTAGCTACAAATAGAAAAAGTCTAGCTTATATCTGTATTTTGCTGTATTTACACCAAACAGCTAACTAGATGCTAAAAGTAACAAAATGCTAGTTCAAAGCAGCAAAATGTAGCCTGAAGCAAAAAAAAAAACAACAACCCCCCACTAGTTTTAAGGCAACAAAAGGCTAACTAAAAGTAGCAAAAGCCTGGCTTATACCCAAATACAGCAAAAAGCTAACTATTAAATGTAACAAAATGTTAGTTCAAAGCTGAATGTAGCTTACGTGTAACAAAAAGACAAATATAGGCAAGTGTGATGAAGCAGATTCCTTAAGGCAGCATTTTAAGAGAATGATGTTTTTGAAAGAAATTAAGAGATGTCAGTGTATTTAATGGGAAACATTTCAATTAGTCGAATAGTTTAAACACTATGAAAGCAACGAAACACAAAATTAGTAGCACACATCTCCTTAATGAGTTGAAATGGCTAAAATCAGATTGCAAAAAAATGTAGGAAAAAGTAAAAAACAAAAAAAGCAAGAGTGATGATGCTGAGTCAGCATTAAATTGCTGATGCAGATAAGTGTAAATGTTTGACTTAGTTTAAGGTTAGATTTTTTTCTCAGTCCTCTTTGCCTCCTGAGGTTATGCTGCAGTGACTGATAAAGAAATAAAAGTCAGACTTTAAGCAGCAGCAAATGATGTGTAACAGAATCCAGACCAGAGAGAACAGCCGGACTCAGGCTGAACTCTGGGTGACGCTCCCAGAGTTTTCACTACAGAGACAAAAATGAAGGCTTTGACCGTCACTACCATTTGTTAAACTATTGGGAAAGTTCTTTCTTTGGTGTGTGTGTGTGTGTGTGTGTGTGTGTGTGTGTGTGTGTATGGGTGGGGGGCATTGCGCAATGCCTGTAGTGCTTTTTCTCCTTCAACTGCCAGCACCTGGATAATATAAAACACAGAATGACAGAGCAGCGACAAACGAAAATGAGAGTGAAAAAAAGAGGAAACAAGCAAACGGTGGAGAAAGTGAGAGACAAATGATGAAGTGAGAGCGGAAGAGGGAAAGTGGGACAGATAAAGATGGAGTGAGTGGGAGAGGAGAGGTACCCGAGCATCATTAGGTGGATTTTCTTCCACAGGTCATTCGTTCTCTGCCTGTCTGGCTGTTACAGAACCTCCATGAGCTCAACATGTATCAGCTACATCCACTCACTCAACACCCCACTCGACAGGACGCAAACAGAAAGATGCTTAAAAATCACTCTCTTATTTTAATGTTACGGTTTCATGAGTAAACACACAAAATACCATCAGGGTCTTATTAGGGACATTAGATTAAAAAGTTAAACTTGAAATTAAAGTCTAAAAATGTCTTTGGGGCCATTTGTTTATACAGAAAATGCCTCCAGGAGATGGATGCTCTGACTTTTGATTTTAGAAGCTTTTATATTTTTCAGAAATATTCCTTTTATTTACAAATATTTTCCATACGAATGCATTGAGATGTGAAATCTGCTTCAGTGGATTAGCTATTTATTTTTGCTACTTTTAGCCAGTCTTTTTCTATTAGTTTTTAGCTACTTTAGCTCAACTGGTTCTACTTTGAGCTAGCCATGTGCTACTTTTGCTTTCATCAGGCCTTGTACAACCTTTAGCTAGTGTTTTGCATCTCATGTTTTAGTTAGTTTTTTTGTGATTCTTAGTTAGCTCTTTGCTGCATTTAGTTTACTGCTAGCCTTATAATACCTTTCGTTTCTGGTTAGCATTTTGCTGATTTTAGCTGGTGTTAAGATGCACTTAACTTTCAGCTAGCTATGTGCTACTTCAAGTTAGCCACATGCTGGTTTGAGCTAGCTATGTGCTACTTTTGCTTTTAGCAGGCCTTGTGCAACTGTCAAACTGTTTTTGCAACTCTTGTTTTAGCTAGTTTTTGTGATTTTTGAGTTAGCTCTTTGCTGCATTTAACTTTGACTATTATATAGGGATATATATATATATATATACACACACACCACTTTCAGCTGGCCTTTTGCTACTTTGAGCCATGTGCTACTTTGACTTTCAGCAGGCCTTTTAATTAGCGCTTCATTGCATTTAGCTTAGTGCTAGCCTTGTAATACTTTTAATTCCTACTTAGCATTTTGCTGTTTTTAGCTGGTGCTTAGATACACTTAAATTTTAGCTAGCCATTTGCTATTTTTAGATATACATTTGATTAGCAGCACCTAGCAGAAAAGCTCTTAAATTTTGTAGAAAATTTAAAGCTAGATTAATTTTTTTCAGCTAATCTTTGCATTTTGACCCAGTTTTCTTTTATTGCACTGTGACAATCTGTAATCTACACTCAGTAATGTGTGAACTGTGCAGCTCACAGATTTTGGCCTCTGAGCAGCTTTTTACGTCATTACATCTGACCGTGTTCGCTGCTGTCTCTCTGCAGGCCTCCTTTAATTTCTCTTCCTGTTGTTGGTTCCTCAGGTAAGCTGCAGCTCCAGAGACACTGGTAATCCCCACGGGAACTGAAAGTAATCAGGCAAAACAAAAATAAAATCACATTAAACTCTGAGCAGCAGCAGTGTGGTAAGATGTTGATAATTACTACCTTTGTTGTGTTTGATTTTGACAGGAGGGGATGTTAGGCTGAGGGGTTGACCTAGTGTACTTGGTCCTGACTCTGAGACAGGGGTTCCCTGAAAATCAAAGTATCTAGTTGTTGCTCTGTTTCGACACACCTCGTATGAACAGAGGTGGTTGAACGTGCTGTACCTGGATTAACTTGTGCAGGATGGAGAAATCTGAGTTTGCTCTAGAGCTGAATGGTTTCCTCTGAGCGGTGCCCCACTCAAACACTGATGTGGAGGTCTTTTTGCTGCTCAGAGTCGACACAGAAGAACCAGATTTCATCTGTATTAGAGGCTGCTGGAGGCATTTTAAGCTGCCCGCCTCTGATGATTCAACTATTTTATGACTCGCAAGTTGCTTCAAATCAGCTTTCTTTTCAGCGACGTCTCCGTCAGATTTCATATGCTCTTGTGTACTTCCTGTTGCTGTATTTGCCTCGTCTGCCACACCTTTTAAACTCTCAAAGGTATCGTTTTCATCTGTTTCCTTCATATTAGGATCAATATGGAGAGGATCATCGATATGTGTTTCATTAGTTTCACTCTCTTGAATCTTGTTTTCTTGAGGAGCAGCTTGTAACAGGTTTTCGAAACACCCAGAAGGAAAAACACCTGCAGTTTCACTGGATTGGTTTTCGTGTTTTTGGTTCTGAGTAGTTGGTTCTGACTGGTCGTTTGGCGGCTCAGAATCCTGACACAGAGTTAGAACTTCATCAGTGAAATTCGACTGCACATCTCCAGATTTACATATATCTTTCCTATCAATCTTGTATTTGTTAGAATGGTTCTCTGTGATTTTCTGACAGAGATTTTCTGCATTCAGAGGCGGCCCAGTGTCCGTGAAGTCATTGACCTGCAGTGTGAGGCTCTTCTCAGCCGTATCAGCAGTCGTGAGAGCCGGTATCTGTGTTTCTGGAGTTTCTGTTGTGCTCTCTGCTGTCTGTTCTTTCTCTTTCACTCCATCTGTTACTTCTCCCTCTCCTTTATCTCTTATTTCTGTTTCAGTGTTGCCGGTCTCCCCTGCTGCCTTTGCTGACCCCTCCGTATCCTGAAGCACGTCAACTCCATCTGATGTTTGTGCCGTCAGGGTGCATTTTTCCTGCGGGTGTCTTCCATCCTTCGCGTCTTGTTTTTCTTCTTGCTCTGCGTCAGTTTCCTGCAGCTCTCTGATGTTTTCCTGTTGCCTTTTATCACCTGTTCTCTGCTCGTCCCTCCCTCTGTTCCACTCCTCATCTGTGTTTCTGGTCGGTAAATCTGCACATCCAGCCGGAGACGCACACTCGGGATTTGATGCAGCCTTGTGACCCCCATCTGACACAATTAATTCACTCATTTCTGAGTTTGTCTCCAGTATTTTCATCTCTGGTTCTGCTTGAGTGTTATCAGGGAAGCTGGACAGATTGTTGTTTCCACATGTTGATGTATTTGGATCATTTCGGGTGTGTTTGTTTGCTTGTGGTTGTTGTTGATGATTTGACAAGTATTGACCTGAAAGAAAATACATGCAAGTAAATTGCTGGTAAAAATGTTCTGATTATTTAAAGAAAGGATTTTCAGTGACTTTGCTTAATTTTGTTTATAAGGTTGCAATGTTTAAGTTCAAATGATCATAACAGAAGCTAAACTGAGGAAAACATAAGCAAAAGTTTATTAAAGCAAAACCATAAACAAAAAACTAAAATTAGCACAACTGTAGCTAAAACCAGCAAAACAGTAGCTAAAAGCTAAAATTAGATCACTGTACGTAAAACATAAAATTAGCCAAACAGTAGCTAAAACATAAAATGAACAAAACTGCAACTAAAACTTGCACAAGTAAATTTAAATGTTAAAGTCAACAAAAATTAGCATAACACTAGGTAAAAGCTAAAATTAGCTAATCCTTGGCCTAAAGCTAAATTAGCAAAACAGTTGATAAAAGCTAAAGCCTGCAAAACAATACCTAGGTGCTAAACTTTTCCAAAATCAACGTTAAAAGGCAGTTAAAAGCTAAAATTAGATCAATGTGGTCAAAACGTCAATTAAAACAGTAGCTAAAACATAAAATTAGCAAAACTGTATATAAAACTTGCACAACGAAATTTAAATGCTAAAGTCAGCAAAAATTAGCTTAACACTAGGTAAAAGCTCAAATTAACAGTAGATAAAAGCTGAAACCAGCAAAACATGCCTAAATGCTAAATGTTCCAAAAGCTTGGCCAAAATCAACAGGAGCTAAAAGCTAACTTCACTAAATTATTAAAGTGCCTGTGTCATCAAAATTTTTCTAATAATACAAAAGCTTTTTTGGAAAGATAACACTGATAACATATTACAAGATCATTTTCATGCTGCTGAGGTGACCAATTGTTGAGATATTTGCACGTGAAGTAACAGGAAGTGATGTCAAAGGGGACTGTCTGCATGGAAACAGAGCTAAGCTAAAATGCTCAACAGCCCTGACTGTGGAGAGGAGTCGGATGTTTTAGATTATTTTGAGTCGCTATCAACCAGAAAACAAACAAAAAAAAGTGAGAGTTCAAATCATAATGTGTCAATAAACAAAGACCAGTGAGTTTTTTTCTTAGTTCCCCTTTTATGTCACTTCCTGTTTCTCTTTTGCCGAGCAAAGTTAAAAAGAAAATAGGCCAGTTATATGTCCAAATGGGTAAAATAATGTGTGGTATGCCGAGCTTCTTAAACAGAACAAAGTTTTCTTTGACTTTTTTATCTGAAGGATAAGCATGTCACAGGCACTTTAAAGTTTTTTTTAATCTATCAAATGAAAAATAACAAATTTTAAATAATCTAATCTTTGCTGGTTTCAGCTTTTAACTACTGTTAATAAAAGACACAAATACTAAAAGTTACAGCACATATCTCCTGAACAGGCTGAACGTTTTGAAACCTGAATGGTTCAAAAAGCTGAAAGAATTCTGAGATAACTAGATACTAAAAAACGTTCAAGACAACAATAAACAAAGATTCTGAGCTCGTCTCTGTAGATATTTTGAGTAAATTTTCTTTTTTTTATTAGAAGCAGTAAATATGTTTATCAGCTGTATGGCTGACCTTCACCAGTGTCCTCCAGTGGTTCTGAGCTTTTGGTCTGAGGGGAGTCTGAGTCCTGCAGACTGTCGAGGTCAGGAGGCTCAGAGCTGGAGATGTGAGTGTTTAGTGTTTCTTTACATCTAATGTCTTCTACCATCAATGAGGACCGGACATTAGAAACACTCTGAGTGTCTTTAATCTGCAAAAGAAAAATTAAAAACAGTGTTTCTCCATGAAACCTTATTAAGAAACTTTTAGGATTTTACACAGGCTTTAAGCTTCGAACATGAAGGTTTGGTGACTAAAAGGTCAACATTTTAATTTAGTTAAGATCTGAACAGATTGACATTATATTACAAACTAAGAAGAAACTTGGTTGATATATTCCTTTAAGGAATATTAGACTATAATTAAAATGACTTTTTTAAAGGGAATCTTGACTAGTTTTAACATTAGACATTGTTTGATAAACATTTATTTAAACTATAGCACTTGAGCTAATGAACTGTAACGTAATAACATATATATGACGATATAGCGTTAGCGCTGGAGATAATATTACAGCTTGAAAACTAATAAATATGTGGCATTAGTTCACATATAGCTAACACTATACCGCAATATTATTTATAAATATATCTATATGAGCTCCAGCGCTAAATCGCCATATATAGATAGATATTTTAGCTTGGGTGTTAACACGAAAGCTAAAAGGCTAAAGCAAAGGTTCTCCATCCATGAAGCACCTCTGTGTGACAACACATTTTTTAATTTATAAAAACTAAACAGTCTACAGTAATTTAAGAATCTTTGTTTTTAAGTTAAAGTTTATCAAATAATGTCTAATGTTACAACTAGTCGGGGTTCCCGTTAAGAAAGGTGGGGCAAAAAAAACAGCTTACATCTTTCTTTTTTTGTTATTATTTGTGTTTAATTCTATTTCATTACTACAAGGAATATTTTTTCTCTTCATCTTTGTTATTAATTCTTTTCATTTTCCTAATGACAAATATTGTATGTCAAGTAGTGTAAAATTCAATAAAAAAGTTGGAATAAGAAAAGGTGGGGTCCATATTTACAATCTGTGTGGTATCATCAGGTGATTTGGTTGTTGTTTTGTATAAATATCTCTACCCTCTGTTTGTCAGCGAGTCGTAGCTCTGACCCGGCTCTCACTGACAGCTCCACAAGTTTCTCTTGAAGGTCTCTGCAAGCGTCTGTCGCCGCTCGCAGCTGCTCCTCCTCGCTCTTCAGCTGATCCAGCAACTTCGCCTTCTGTTCGATTCACACGGAACACGTGTTTAAACCAACGCCCACATGGTTTTTACATCTGCTTTGAGCTCGGGTTTGTGCGTCACCTCTTTGTCCCAGCTGGTCCTGGAAGCGGCGTAGCTCTCCGTCAGTTGGACCACCTCGTCCTCCGTCGTTTTGCTTTTCTCCCGCATCACTTCCTGCTCTTCCTTAAGGGCCTGCAATAAAATTAATTGCCCGTGCGTTTTTAATGCAATACTAAATTTTTACGAGTTTATTTAACGTGAACAGAAGGTCTTGAACGCAGCAGGGACAGAGGAGACTTCCTGCTAATACAAATCAGTTTGCTTGTGTCATTTTAATAATGATTTTAATAAATTAATGAATGGGAGAATTAAAATAAAAGGGGGCGCGTAGAGTGAAGAAAAGAGAACAATAAACCTGGAGGCCATAAATGGAGAAAAACACACTATCATTCAGCTGTGGAGGGGACTGTATTCACACATATACACGCTGTGATATACAACGCCATATTCAGAAAATTTATGAGACGGAACAATGGTCAGGTGTTTATGTCTGTCTTTGAACATTTTTCTATAATTATTTACACAGATTCTGGATTATTTGGAGCAGGTGAGACCAAAATGTGACGCAGTAACTAGTTTTCTGTCAGAATTTAAACAAACGACAATAAATATGATAAAAATAAAGATTAGAAGCAATAAAGGGGTTGCTTTCTGTTGAGGTGATGATGCCCCATTTTAAATATTTAATAATGCGAGACTGTAGCTAAGAAGTAAACATTTTTTGTTGTAATTTTCCTAGTAAATAGAAAATTAAAGAAGTTCTTTTAGCCGTTAAGTGTTGTCTGTTTTAACCTCATGAGATTAAAACGATCTTTTTCTTGTTTCATAACTTATTTTCTGGATTGGTTTTCATTTTAGATGTTAAAGTCCAGATTTTAATTTTGGCTGCAAAATTCAATTCAAAAATACTTTATTGATCCCAAGGGGAAATTAGATAATGTTTAAATAGTGAGCGACATGAAAAAGTGGTGACATTTCGGAGATTCCTAAACGGTCCTGACTTCACTTTTTAAATAAATAAAGAAATAAATTCCAGTTTGACTTGAAGGGAACTGTTCAAGTTGATGCCTCTTAACACAACAGGTGAATTAAATGTTGTGTTCAGTAAAAACAGGTGAAGCAGAAGAGAACGAGTCAGACCTGAAACATTTGTCGCTGGCTCTGCAGCTCCTGTTCTAGTCGCCTCACGGTCTGAGTCTGATTCAACAACAGCTGCTGGTTCTGCTGCAGAGACCTCATCAACTCCTTCTTTTCAAAACGTTCGGCATCGTTCTCCTCCTGGAGCTTTTTGTTCACGTCACTTTCCTAAACATAAATGATAATAAATTAACGGTTACATTTTGTCTTTGTTAGATTTGAATTTGAACATGGCAAGAGGCAGATTAATGTGTGCGGATTGTAATACTTTTTGTCTTGATCATTTACCATTTTAAGTTTCTGCTGCAGCACCTGCAAATGCTGCTCTCTCCCTGAAGAACTGTGGGTCTTCTCATTTATCACCACTTTCATCTTTTCTTTTATGAGTTTGTTACTGACTTCATCTAACTCCTGAGAACATAACACACACACACAAACAAAAAAACAACAACAAAAAAAAAAACATGATGGTTGATTGGTTCAAAAAGTTTGCCACATTTCTTTATGGGGACTCAAATATAT